GATGATCCTTACTGGACCTCTAGGAAGAACAGTTTAGAACTGATAGAGCTATCCAGTATAAATAAAGTTAGTTTAGTTTGGGTTTCCTCCTGTAGTAACACTGGATCAATAAGAGATGATCCTTACTGGACCTCTAGGAAGAACAGTTTAGAACTGATAGAGCTATCCAGTATAAATAAAGTTAGTTTAGTTTAGGTTTTCTCCTGTAGTAACACTGGATCAATAAGAGATGATCCTTACTAGATCTCTAGGAAAAACAGTTTAAAACTGATAGAGCTATCCAGTATAAATAAAGTTAGTTTAGTTTAGGTTTCCTCCTGTAGTAACACTGGATCAATAAGGAATGACCTTACTGGACGGTCGCTATATCTAGGAAGAATAGCTTAGGGCCATTCGGTATAAAAAAAATAGTTAAAAATCATCTGGATTTCAAATATTTCAATAAATTAAATTTGTGAACAGTGTTCTTTATTTACAATTGTCAGACAGTGCCAAAAGTTATTTTTTATACTACGTTAGATGGTCGTCTGCATATATATTTTTACACGTGCAAAAAGTTTATAGTATATTTACATCTTAATAAAGGCAATGCAAACTGCACTATAATTGTCCGCATAACTTATATGTTGAGCAGCATTTGCTGATGGTGTTTTTTTTTCTATTCTAGAACCACAATTCATTTATTACACGAGAACTCCAATGCCCTGCGTCAAAGCGACAAGTCAATAATAATTAAATTATTTTAAAAGTGGCTGCCGCTGTCTTGGTTAAATCCTCGAGGCATGTTTCCGAGACAGTGGATATAATATTTGGGGTTCCGGATAGATGATAATCCAACGCTACTAACTCAAACATGTATCGTACTAATAATTTAATTCTACTCGTCTCAAATATTAATCATAAGCTATCCAATTGCTTTTTCTTTTTACTTTTCTTCCCACCGCCAACCAAAGATGGATTTAAGGACTCCAATCTGACCGGTCTCATAGTAGAAGCTGGGTAGGCTTCCGTCGGGCTAACCCTTTCATGGAACGGGCTGCTGGACCGCCGATGGTGCGTCGTCTCGTTGTTATCTTGGCGTCGTAGACTCTGCGACTCTAGAAGACGATTCGCGCGCTTCGGAGCAAAATATGACGCCGCGTTTATACTGCTATCTTTACGATTGAGAAGCTGTAAAAATTTGTCCTCTTCGTTGCTATCATGATAGTAACCATTAGGAGGGGAGGCCCCTGTCTTAGATTTGCGGGGGGAAGGCGCGATACCCCCGGGCATTGGTAACGTGGTTCGTTCTACCGCTACCTCGGGGAGCACCCAAACCTTCCCATCATCGTCCCATTTGCTTTCGCTCATAATGCGATCCAAATTCGAATAATTACAATCCCTTCGCAATAACGGCTGTACTTTTTCGAGCAATAGTTTCTGCAGCTCCATTTGGCGTTCTTGTTTTCGTATCGTCTCCAAGTAATCCTCTCGCTCGCGTTCGAATTCGATTTGTAGGTCGTCGACTTCGCCTTTCGCTTGCGTTAAATCGTCTTGTAGGTTTTTCATTTTTTTGTTCTTGGCTTTGATTTCGTCTTGCAACGAGTCGTATACCTTGGGAATGGAAATGTATTTAGTACATTATGATTTACTTTTACTATTATTCAGGGATGGAACAAATATTTTACTTTCTCGGACCGCAAGAGAGCATTGAAATTTTTTTGGCAAATAATCATGCAAGTAAATTGACACTCGGACACTGCAATTGTGTGACACCAACAAGTTGTCAAAATGGATATCATGTCAAAATGGATATTATTCTCTGAGAATCTTAAAATACCTTTAGGAATATATCTCAGTATATTTGAAAAAGGAGTTCTGGCTTTTGAAAAAGGGGTTCTGGCATTTAAAAACGGAGTTCTGGCATTTGAAAACAGAGTTTTAGCATTTGAAAACCGAGTTCTGGCTCAAAAAAAGGTAATTCTGGCATTTGAAAACAGAGTTCTGGCATTTGAAAAGGGAGTTCTGGTATTTGAAAACGGAGTTTTGGCATTTGAAAGGGGAGTTCTGGCATTTGGCAACGGAGTTCTGGCGTTTGAAAAAGGAGTTCTGGCATTTGAAAAGGGAGTTCTGCCATTTGTAAAGGGAGTTCTGGCATTTGAAAACAGAGTTTTAGCATTTGAAAACGGAGTTCTGGCTTTTGAAAAAGGACTTATCTGGCATTTGAAAACGGGGTTCTGGCATTTGAAAAGGGACTTCTGGCATTTGAAAAGGGAGTTCTGGCATTTGAAAAGGGAGTTCTGGCATTTGAAAATAGAGTTCTGGCTTTTGAAAAGGTAGTTCTGGCATTTGAATAGGGAGTTCTGGCATTTGAAAAGGGAGTTCTGGCATTTGAAAAGGAGTTCTGGCATTTGAAAAGGGAGTTCTGGCATTTAAAAAAGGAGTTCCAGCATTTCAAAACAGAGGTCTGGCATTTGAAAACAGAGATTTGGCATTTGAAAACAAAGTTCTGGCATTTGAAAACAGAGATTTGGCATTTGAAAAGGGAGTTCTGGCATTTGAAAACTGAGTTATGCCATTTGAAAACGGAGTTCTGGCTTTTGAAAAGGGAGTTCTGGCATTTGAAAAGGGAGTTCTGGCATTTAAAAAGGAAGTTCTGGTATTTGAAAACGGACTTTTTGCATTTGAAAACGGAATTCTGGCATTTGAAAAGGACAGTTCTGGCATTTGAAAAGGGAGTAAGTTCTGACTTTCGAAACGTATTAATTAACGTTCGATAACATCTCAAAGTTGGACTACCTCTTTTTTACACACGCTGTATATTTGGGGTTAGTCTCACTTTAAAAACTGCAAGATTACCTTTATAACCATTTGGTCACTATTGTCTAGCGTTTTTAACGCGTTCACGAGTTTTTCCTTTCGTGAGAACACATGGTCTTTGCGTTTTTCATGTTTCTCCTTCAGTTGGCTGTCGTCTTTTCGTTCGCCCCCCACAATCTGCTGTTGAAGATTCTGTAAGCGCACGAGCGCCTCCTGTTGCATCTGTTCAGCGCTTATTGTCGAGTTGGCAGCCGTGGAATCGTTTAGGACCGGTGACGAGGTTGGCGCGCGAGTCGTTCCCAGGTTCTCGTCGTCTAAAACCGCGGCCGACATACCAGGAATCTGAGGAGGGAATAAATACAAAATGCATGACTATATTCAAATTTAAAATTTTTCGTACGTTTCTCAAGCGGGAAACAAACTTTAAAAGTATGTTTAGTGCTTTATCTGTAAAATATTGCTAAAATAAAGAGATTTTAGATGGTAGGCCAAAGAGAAAATGATGTCTAAAGTTCAGTATATTATATTGCTGTGTAAATATGGCGTCATTTTTAAGCATTATTGATAATTGTATTTTAATTGGTAATTTTTATTATTTTATGTTTCTTAACCGTCAGATACATTTAAAACGGTTGCTAACTGTGTAAAATACACAGAATGAAGTTAGTTCACTAAAATTAACATTTTAAATTAAGATTTTATATTTAAATTTTTATCTTACCGCGGCCTGTTTATCATCATTGTTAACAACGTTGTTATTATTATCGTTTGTTTTATCTTTTTTCTCGGGCTGAGGAACTTTAGTATGTTGAACTGCTTCTTTCTGCTGCTATTTAAGTGAAGAAATCTTTTTTAATTCTACATGCTTTAGTCAGTATTATGCGCATGAATGATTGTTTAGAAGTGGTAGGGCTATCCAGTATAAATAAAGTTAGTTTAGTTTATACAGTAGGTTTCCTCCTGTAGTAACACTGGATCAATAAGAGATGATCCTTACTGGACCTCTAGGAAGAGCAGTTTAGAATTGATAGAGCTATATCCAGTGTAAATAAAGTTGGTTAGTTTAGGTTTCCTCCTGTAGTAACACTGGATAAATAAGAGATGGGATTGATCCTTACTGGACTTTTACAGTATAGGAAGAACAGTTTAGAACTTGTAGAGCTATCCATGCAGTATAAATAAAGTTGGTCAGTTTAGGTTTCCTCCTGTAATAACACTGGATCAATAAGACATAATCCTTACTGGATCTCTAGGAAGAACGGTTTAGAACTAATAGAACTATGCAGATAAATAAAACTAGTTTAGTTTAGGTTTCCTCTTGATAGTAACACTGGATCAATAAGAGATGATCCTTACTGGACCTCTAGGAAGAACAGTTTAGAACTGATAGAGCTATCCAGTATAAATAAAGTTAGTTTAGTTTAGGTTTCCTCCTATAGTAACACTGGATCAATAAGAG